AGTGTCTGAATTATCTGAAATATAAACAAATTCATTTCGGCAATTCAGCAACAACAAACAAATTCGGCTCTCCACGTGCGCAGCCACGTGGTGACGCTTAGAAAGCCAAGGTGAAACTGGTAGCGGACTGAATGTGTGTGGTGTGGAAGTAGACGACAGTAGTGAGGAAGAAACTTAGTTTACACTGGCCTTCAAACTGTTTATACGTAGTACGAGGTATGTTCAAAAATATCGCGAGTTTTGTGTTTTTTCAAAAATTATTTATTTATTCATGAATATCAAAGTAATCCCCATGAGATATTATACAATGGGGCCAACGGTTTTTCCAATCTTCGAAGCATTTCAAAAAATTATTATTTTTTTCTTGTTCAGCTCCTCCTTCGATGCCGTCTTTATCTCGTCAATCATAGCGTAACGTCGTCCTTTCATGGGCCTCTTCAGTACAGGAAATTCGCGAGACTTTCTGAACATACCTCATACATATTCCGTTTTTAGGGCCGTGTGAGTGCTGAAAGAAATAACTTTTCCTTGAGCTCAAAAAAAGTAGATAATCTGAAATTTCAAATGATCCGTTGTAGGTTTTTTAAAATCGCCTTGATTGATTCTTTGAATGAAGGGTTCCTTGGCATACTTTGGAACGCGCATTTTAATCCCAACGCAGCCGCAACTCAAACCCATTTGTTAGTGCCTGAAGTGTAAAAATTCAGACTCATCCAGGGATTATTCTCCAGCGTTTTAATCAGTATAGGAATTGCAACCTGTCTTACTTACCCCATCTTAAATTAAAACACTACAAAGATTCATACCATAATACTACTTGGAAACATGGCTTTTACCTGTCTGTGGGAGTTTCGAATGGGGCAAACTTTTCTCAGAACACCAGGGCACTAGCCCGTGCAATGATAATACTGAGTTGTCATTTTGCGGTCTAAAAAATTTTGAAAAAGAAAACTTTTAATCTCAAGAAGACGTTCTCTAAGTACCTTTTTCTATTCACAATGGGCAGTTCTATCTCCTAGGACGCATTCTTCATCCGCAATATAGACCATTAATATGTACACCAGAAAGAGCATAATAAGATCAATGCACTTAGCAAAGCCCGTTTAAACATTTCAAAGGTCAGTTTCTGCTGACTGACCGCTAGTCGCACATAGAGCAATTGGTTCTTTCCTTCTGGCACGGAGGTTCAGTTTAATTCGAGGTAAACTACTCGACTCGTGGAATATCAAAATTTTTTGCAAAATTTTAGAGAGCTTTGTTATACCGAGAGTTATGTACTCTGAAAATCTAAAATTGGATGTCTGTAGCCAGTTCTTGTGGCACGGAACCTTTTAGCCATCTTTTGCACTTACTGCTGAGAACATTTTCTCACGATTTTCCTTACCTCGAAGATCTCCACCTCAAATAGCTTGGGATGTGTAGTCTACTTCGGAAACCCGGCAATACTTTCCATTACAAACTCGGCTGAGTAACCTTTCTGTTCTATTGGAGCTCTTGGAGTAGTTAACATCGCTTCTATTGGGTATATAAGACTTTGTAGTCCACAACAGCGGCGTAAGATTGGTAGTCACTGTGTAACACCAATGAATGAGGTCTGGCCCAACGTAGCATCTAGCATCTCCTTACAAAGGTATTCGCATTTTTCTACCATCTGACCCATAGTGCGGTGCTTCAACAGCTTGCTGTTCTAAACTACCCAGCGGTACGTGGTGTGTTGTGAGATTCCAGAGCCCAGACTTCAAAACACAGCGAAGAATTCTTACCTAACTTACTCTACCAACAATTTTCGTATCACTCACATTAATCTCTCTCTTCTCTTTTAGTGTTTCTTGGTTCATATTTTTTACGTCTTCCTGCAGCCCTTACATACATGTATATAGAATATAAAGGAATATGTGAAAGAATCAGTTGTAAAGTGTGTCCGCACAGGAAATTCATTTAGTAACGCTCTCGCCTTAAAGTATGCACTTTAATTTTGCATAAATCGTCACTTTCGTTTACTTCGTTGACCTTCAAAGTTAAAAACGAACTCAAAGCAAACATAACACTTGATAAAGCATACTTTTAGGCGTATACCGTGTGCATAAACACAGCGTATGTATGTACGCATGTATGGAACCACACAAAGTGTCTGCGGGTGGTTAGTTAGAAGAAATTACATGGGTTCGCTATAAACGACAAGTAAAAAATAATTATATACATACATATATACGAGTATATATATAGAGAATTTTAAAGTGCCCAATAGCATAGGCGGCGGACGCCTTGAATACGCTGTAACTGAAGTGTGCCACATAATGAAGTAATTTTCAAAGTATCACTTAATTTTGTGTGTTGACATTTAATGAGATTTCTTGCAAATTATTGCAGGGCAAGAGGGCGTCAAAGACGGGGGGCAACTATGTGCACATATACATGCAAGTAGAGTAGAGCAAAGGAAGTACCGACGCAGGCGGCTCTGAAAACGGAATCCATTGCCAAAGGTGAGGCGAGTTTTTTAAAGATTTACACTTTAATAGTACAACAACGCTTACACACTTACAGCATACATACATACATATTTCTGACAACATTTATTTTTTAATTCAAAGCAAAGCAAAAATTGTCTCTTACAATCGCATTGCTCTGGTCGCACCCCAAACAATTTTTTGTTGTGAACTGACGCATGAAATCAAATTGCAGCAACGCCATAGCGAATGCTGCTGCTGGCGACTCCTGCTCGTACATGCTGTTGTGAATTAAGGACTATTGGACACACGCAAGCACACATACACGTAAGTACATATAACCCGCTCGGTCTCCCTTGTAAATCGTTTCAGCCAGAACTACAGAACTAGAAGAAGTGTAGCGGTATCTGCAAGCTATTTAACAGCAAGAGAATGAGTGTGAGAGAGAGAGAGATTTGCCATGAGCGAGTGTTAGAGTACGTGCGTCCGTTGTAACTGATTTTTGTAGCACTCACACAGCACCAATATCCGGCATTCCTCTATGAATGAATTGTGGATTTTATGTTATGCGCTCTGTAACATACATATGTAACTGTTAACACTCTCTCGTGATAAGACGTCCTTGACTATATTGATAATAAATGGTTTTTAAGTTACACGTACCTTGAGCTTTACAGCATTCACATTGCGGAGGTCAAAAGCGAATGACATGCGGGAATTTGCATGTACTCGGCTTTTGTTTTCAAAGTCGTACAAAGTTACATCATATGTTCACTGCAGGACGCTGTGTTTTGAGCTCATTGTGGGATTATGAACTGAGTAATCACCTGTGCATGACTTCGCTCTTAGGACAACTCTGTATTTAAATTTTGAGTTTTGTATTTCCATGGGACCTCAAAGCATGGCCAGGGCAATAATCAAAATTTAGAAATAAATCTTTTTCCGCCTCGACAGAGTAGGTCGACCCATCCGATTGTATTATTGACTTGCAACCAAAAAAGGAATCTAGGTAGTTAGATAAGTACGAGAGAGGGAGGATGGGCACTTTGACCACTGGTCTGTTATGCCTTACAGTTCGTATCAAGCTCAAAGTTCCTCAATAGCCCTAACCAACATGAGGGCTTGGACGATTTTGGTGGGATTTTGGTGTCTCCTCATAAAATTCCACTCCACCACCAGATGAAAATCTCCAAACGAGTACCAGATTTCGGGCTTTGTAACGGTCTTCTTATCACTTTAGTGAAGACGCAAATCCATATTACAAAATTTAGGTGATAATTCAGAAAATTCTGATGTTGTTGTTGTTGTTGCATAGTTATGTATACTCAAGAGCAGGCAAGATTAGTCCACGTCATCAAGGTCATCTGAGCAGAGGTACAGGAAACGTGTTGTTTCGATGGGTGTGGACTAGAAAGAAAGGGGCGTGAGAAGAGTTGGTTTTAAGGCTCATGCAAAGAGGTAGTTAGCGGCGTGCGGGATCTCATGGAAAGCAGTTCGACTACTTCCCGCATTAGCTGCTGGTTCTATGCGAAAACTAAGAACTACTGACTAATCGTAACGTCGCAGCTGCTAGCGGAGTCATCAGCTTAGTACTTTCTTTTGGACTATTCAATGATAGGTTAAAAGTAGTGGACAGCACAACTTAAAAGAGCTACGAAAAATGTGGGACTTTCTTAAAACGCAAGCGTTGGCGATGAACCTCCCTGCGGGTTAGGGGTTCAAGAATTTACCCGAGGTAAGGAATGCCTGTCGTAAGAGGCGACTAAAATCCGATAGTTCCCGCGACAGTCTGGTCTTTATACCGGAACGACCCGAATTTTTATTCGGTCAAGGACTGTCACTCCCGTAACATTCCCCAAAAAGTACTTTGGGGAATATTTTTGCGGTTACAACAACAACAATAGCAGCAAATAGTTTCAACAAGGAGGTCCACTGTTTTGCAAATTAAAATATAAGCCACTTTCCGAATTTGAACTTAAACTGGGTTGCACCAAAAACGTCCTCTGTCAATATATTGATCAGAAATCGAGTATTCAAATAGTTCTCTGGCTAAAGATAATGATAATCTTCTTTAAGAAATGTGTCAAGAAAATGCCAATGTGTTATTAGCAATTTCAAAAGGAGTCACCCTGTGCCTATAGAAAATTATTACAAGGTTAAGAATTCTGTCTTTTATAATAAAGAGTAAAAATCGCCAATTAATACATCAATATTAATTTTCTTTAATTATGGATAAGTTTCAAATATTTGAAATTATTAATAAAATCTCAAACTTCACGAATGCAACCATGTTTTGATCTTCAGCACAGGCTGTAGCAGTTTGTGGAGAGTTAAATATCGTCCCCACACTACCATAAGAAAGAGCGGGACAACATGCTATCATAGGTGCCAGTTAACAAAAACAACAAGTACGCTTGCAACAAAGTTATACTATTTCTATACTCTTCAGCAGCACAGCTGTGTTTGCACATTTCCGAACGCATTGATCTTTGTTGTGCCGGCCAATTTTGCGCCTTTTTTCTTTGCACTTTTTGCTGCATTGCTGAATATGTGCATTGTTTACAAAAACAAATACTGTGTGCATAAAAGTCTCCACAACAGCATTTATTGGACAAAGGGGAATTTTCAAATTTTGAAACGGCATTTCAATCGCTTGTCAGACACTTGAAGGGCGTGCAAAGTGAATTTGTTTTATTAAATTTTAATACACACATTTTAAGTTTAGCAGTTGTAATTTTTTCGATTTAATTAAATAATAATATTAAGTAAACGGAAGTCACAAATCGTGAGGTTTATTATTGTCTTGATAAAAGTGCATTGAGTGAGTTAAAGTAAGGAATTACCTGTTGTCCTTTATCTTCATAATAACCAGGTAGGTTTAAAGTATTTTCCAGAAAATTTCTGAGGAAATTTATGTATTTGAACTAGCAAATTAGCATGTGTTTAAGATTTTTTGCATCCTGCAATGCAGTTGACGCATTTTTGGTTGTTTGCGCTGCCATTTGCTGTGATGTTCGGCAGTATTTTGGACTAACTGGATCTTACAATAGTTTTTTAACACAATATTTTCTCATTCTATACCAAGTGAAGATTAATTATACCAATGTGCATACATATGTATGTCATTATAATATTTTGTTGATTAATATTTTATTTTTCATTTTTAAAATTTTCAGTTTTTTTGTGTTTACATTATTATTATTTGCTATATTGCTAGCTGTTTAAAAGCAAAATGAGCAAACCAGATCCTTCACGCATAAATTCTTACAAGTCCAGCATTAGAAGTGCGACGGTGAGTATCGACAATATTACGTTTTTAAATCGTGATACCAACTATTTATTACCTACACAGGACTCTCGCATGCGTCGCCATGAAGTTACCGTGGAGTTGCGTAAATCAAAGAAGGAGGATCAACTTTTCAAGCGTCGTAACATAAACGAAGAGGATATTGTTTCACCTCTAAAAGAAAATAACGTTCAATCACCAGTGCCAATGTCAATTGATGAAATGGTGGTTGCTATGAAAAGCGATGATATTGAACGTCAATTTTTGGGCATGCAATCGGCACGTAAAATGCTTAGTCGCGAGCGTAATCCGCCTATTGATTTAATGATTGGACATGGCATTGTACCCATTTGCATACAATTTTTGCAAAAGACCGAAAAGTAGGCATTTTAATGCGAAATTCTTTTTTAAAAAATTAAACTTTATTTCTTTTTTTTTTTTGTTTCCTTTTAGTCCTTTGCTACAATTTGAAGCAGCTTGGGCGCTAACCAACATCGCCTCTGGCAATTCAGACCAAACACGTTGTGTCATCGAACAAAATGCTGTGCCATATTTTGTTGCCTTGCTACGATCTAAATCGATTAATCTTGCCGAACAGGCTGTTTGGGCTTTGGGCAACATTGCGGGTGATGGTGCGGCTGCACGTGACATAGTCATACATAATAATGTTGTGGATGGTCTATTGGGTTTGATTAATCAAGCGACGCCGCTTTCGTTCTTACGCAACATTGTCTGGTTGATGTCGAATTTGTGTCGTAACAAAAATCCATCGCCACCATTTGATGAGATCAAACGTTTGTTGCCCATTATATCACAATTGCTCCTAGGTAGTGATGACCAAGTATTAGCGGATGCCTGCTGGGCTCTATCCTATGTAACGGATGATGAAAATGTAAAAATACAGGCTGTAGTTGATACAGGTGCCGTTGAGCGTTTAGTAGCATTACTTGGCACAGATGAACCTTCGATAATTGTACCAGCACTACGAACCGTTGGAAATATCGTAACCGGTACTGATACACAGGTGAGTGCCCACTTTAACAAAAAAAGTGAAACCTTCGTGAGTTATCTACTGCTCAAATATGTATTTAAAACTAATTTCTTGATATACGTATGTGCATGTATTCATGATACTCATTATCAGTGCATGCGATTCCCATTTAAAAAGCAAAGTGTAACTCTCTTAAGCGCCTGCACCGATAAACAGCTACTTACTGTGTGCTACTTAATCTGTCTTTCGTTACAATTTTATTTGCTTTCACTGCAGCATCCATCTGCTACAATAAAATACACATAATATTTTCGGCAACGAAAATCATTTATACAGTTGAAAATCTTTCGGCTATCTCGTGGGGGTGGTTGTCATCACTCGGAACTACTATCTTCTTTTGCCACCCATTTTAGCCGCTTAATACTTGGACGCTTGAGTTTTTTGCATAACTATGTGTAATTTGCATATGAATCCAAAGCTGGCGTCGATTACTTGACATAGATCCGCATTAAAATTGCGAAAAAGTAAACTAAAAGAGTATAAGAGTGAGCGGGGGTGGCAGGCAGCAAGCAAGTAAGCATGAAGTCGGGCAAACCTGCTGGTAGGTAGATACTTTGGCTAAGCTAATGAAGGCAAGGTTGTGCATGCGAATGTAGCGGGCGGCCTATGTATGAGTGGTAGGACTCCCTAGATGCTTTGGTACTTGGGCATCTGGGGGTGGGTTGAGGTTGGGTTTTGGGTTTGAGCTTTGCCATTGATGCTGCTTCCGCTGTTGCTACTGCATAATCTGCACATTTCACAAATGGAAAATGAATATTTACGAATTTCCACTTTGGATTCCGGGATTAGCATGTTGATGAAGGTAGCGCGGTAGTATCTATGTATGTTTATAGCTGTTGATACTCAGGTTCTTTTGGTGGCTGCTGAATTTGTTACTTAACAGCTAAATGAAATTGTTTGCAGTTAGCTATATGGTATGCACATACAGATATTTGTTTTGAGAAAGTATGCCGCATGTGTGTCTTCTTTATACAAAAATAGTTTATTTGATGCGAATTATACAATTTTTCATTATTTTTTACTACTTGCCGTTAAGCTCTCAAGCCTTACAAAGAAATGCTTAAATATTTAGTATTTTAGCTACCACAATTTCCTCATTCATTTCCTAAATTGCTTTTAACAATTTCTTTTTTTTTTGTTATTTACCTAAATTTGTATATTACCTCGATTTTTATAATCCAGCAGCATTGCAGTGAAATCTTCGCTCATTTGCAAATCCTGTAAAATGGACCCTTAGATATGTATGTATGTATCTACAGTAGGTGTATGTAACTTGCCACATTTCTATATGTATGTCACTCATTTGAAATTGAATGTTTTGCCTTTAAGTTATAAGTATGTGTGAATGTTTGTATGTTTGTATGTATGTATGTTAGGGTCTAGTGCAACATGTAAAGTGCCACTTTTGCCTTTCAATTTGCAAAAATTACTTTTTGCCACCTTGCTTATTTATGTCTGTATGTAACTACCAGCATTCTTGGCTGTTTCGTTTGTTTGTTGCCTCACATTTTTCGTAGCAACGTTTTTATCTGAATTTTTATTTATTCGCATACTTTTAGGCGTTTGCCAAAATTCATTTGCATATTTGCTACACTTTATGGCTAAAAAAGAATTAAATAAATTAAGAACTGTACAAACATTTTGCACTTATTTCTATATTTTCTAATTTTCTTAATTTATTTGGTATATCATTCCGTTTTTTAATAAATGCTTTTTTTTTTTTTAAATATTTTTTATATATTTTATTATTTTTTATATATTTTATTATTTTTTTATATATTTTTTTTTAATATTTGTTTAATATGTATGTATGTTTAATATATTTTTAATATTATTTTAATTTTTTTTAATGTTTTTTTAAATTTTTTAAATATAATTTCAAAATTTTTTAAAATATTTTTTTCAATATTAATATATTAATATATATTTTCTTTTTTTTTAATTTCTTCTTTTTTAATGATTTTTTCTTTTTAATAATAATTAAATTTTAATATTTGATTTTTTTTTAGTGTTTTTTTTTTCAATATTTTTTTGTTTTAATATTTTTTGTTTATAAAATTTTTTTCTAATGTTTTTTTAATATAATATTATTTTAAATATTTTATTATTATTTTTTAAATATTTTATTATTTTTTTTTTTAATATTTTGTTATTATTTTCTTTAAATTTTTTATTATTTTTTAAATATTTTATTATTATTGTTTTTAAATATTTTATAATTTTTTTTTAAATTTTTTTTTATTTTTTTTAAATATTTTATTTTATTTTTTATTATTTTTTTTTTAAATATTTTATTTTATTTTTTTATTATTTTTTTTAATAAATATTTTTTGATATATTTTTTTTTTAAATATTTTGTTTTAATATACTTTCTTAATGTATATTTTTAATATATTTTTTTAATGTATTAATATATTTTTTATAAATATTTTAATTTTTTTTAATATAATTTTTTAATATAATTTTTTTTTAATATTTTTTTGTAATAATTTTTTTAATAATTTTTTTTTAATATATTTATTTTTTTAATATATTTATTTTAATATATTTTTTTCAATATTTTTCTTTTAAATATTTTTTTTTAAATATTTTTTTTTTTTAATTATTTTTTTTTAATATTTTTTTTTTTAAATATTTTTTTTTTTAAATATTTTTTTTTAAATATTTTTTTTTTAAATATTTTTTTTTTCAAATTTTTTTTTTTTAAATATTTTTTTTTTTAAATATTTTTTTTTGTATATATTTTTCTTTTTAAATATTTTTTTTAAAAAAAATTTTTTTTTTAAATATTTTTTTTTTTGAAATTTTTTTTTTGAAATTTTTTTTTTTTTAATATTTTTTTTTTAATATTTTTTTTAAATATTTTTTTTTTAAATATTTTTTTTTAAATATATTTTTTTAGATATTTTTTTTTTAAATATTTTTTTTTAAATATTTTTTTTTAAATATTTTTTTTTAAATATTTTTTTTAAATATTTTTTTTTTATAATTTTTTTTTAATGTGTTTTTTTTAAATATTTTTTTTTTTTAATATTTTTTTTAAATATTTTTTCTAATAAATTTTTGTAAAATTTTTTTTATTAATATTTTGTGTTTTTATAATTTTTTTATATAATATAATATTAACATTTTTCCCTTCTCCTATTTCTTATATTTGTTTCTGACTGCCACTGCTTTGCCTGCCAATATCCGCGTGTAATTTAATTTCAACTGCCCTGTCATCATCACTATTATAAAAAAAAAACAACAACAACGAACCAACAGACGGACGCAGTTATTGCCGCCGGCGGTTTACAAGTACTCGGTGTCTTGTTGCAGAATCCCAAGGGTAATATTGTAAAAGAGGCCGCCTGGACGATTAGTAATATCACAGCCGGAAATCAGAAGCAGATTCAGGCTGTTATCGATTCTGGTAAGTTTTTTTTTTATTTATTTTATTTTACTGTATGCTTTATACATATATATTTCTTATAATTTTGATTTTGTAATTTATTTTTATTTGAGAATTTCATTTGTGGAGCATCACAGAAGGACCTTTATTTTAGTTGCTTAACCCACACAGAGTTGTTTTTTTCGTTGAATTATAGACGAGCTGTTGTTGTTGTTTGCCAGTTTGATAGTTATGAATGTAGTTGAAATATCTGCTTGCCGAGTTACTTGCCTCCTGACTGTTTAAGGACAAACAAAAAAAAGAAAAAGCAAAATATATATTTATGTATGTATGTATGTACGCACATTGCTGAAATTTACTCTGTTCAGCTTGGTGGATAGGCCAAAGTAATGAAAAATAAACTTGGTCAGTGTCGAGTGCATAAATATTGGTGTGTGTAAATGAGAAGGAGAAGGAGGAGGCAGGTGCACATCAACACTAATGAATAGATTCTACAGAAAAGATAAATTGTGGACGTAAACTTAATTAACTAATTTTTTGTACATACATACAACCAAATACATACATACATATGTATGAGCAGGCGCTTGTAAATTATAAAATGCATTTCAAAAACAACCATTAAATTGGGGAAAAAATATCTCATTTTACGGTATACTGAAAATGGTGAAATACAAACACGACGACATGAAAGGAAGTATGCAACTGGAACAGTGGCAATTGTTTTAGAAAAGTGGGTCAGCATAATTTGTAATTAATTTTTGTTCACATTTATTATGTAGTTTTGTTGTTTACAGCAGGATTTTAATGGATTTTTTTTTTATTTTGCAAAATTCAACTAGACGCATACAAAAATATATATTTTCTTAACAGTTAGGCGTTTAGATGCGATTTGAATTCTTTTATTTTTATTTTTAAATGAACAATTCGCACTTCCTTCTAACTTCAAAATTATTCCAGTGGCCTTAAAGCTCTGTATTTGGCTGCTGTTAGTACATACATTTATATGTACATGTATACTTGTATGTTTTTAACGAATAGTGTTTTCAATTACAATAATAATAATATTGGTTTTTGTTTTTCTTTCTTTATTTTTTTTGTATTAATTGTGTTTTGTTTGTTGTTTTTTTTCTTTTTTTCTTGTTATTTTTTTTATTTTTTTTATTGTTTTTTTTTATTGTTATTTGTTTTTGTTTTTTTTTTGTTGTTTGTTTTTATTTTTTGTTTTTGTTGTTTTTTTTTTTGGTTTTTTGTTTGCATATTTTTATAGTTAATTTTTGTTTGTTTTTTTATTGTTCTTTTTTGTTTTTTTTATTGTTCTTTTTTGTTTTTATTCTTATTTTTGTTTCTTTTTTACGTTTTATTTTTGTTGTTTTTCGTTTTTTTGTATGAATTTTTTTTTATTTTTTTTTNTGTTGTTGTTTTTTGTTTGTTTGTTTATTCTTTTTCGTTTTTATTCTTATTTTTGTTTCTATTCTATTCTTTTTTTCTATTTGTGTTTTTATTCTTATTATTGTTTATATTTTATTCTTATTATTGTTTATATTTTATTCTTATTATTGTTTTTTTTTATTTTTTTTTGTTTTTTTTTTATTTTTTTTATATTTTTTTATTTTTTTATTTTTTTGTTTGTTTTTTATTTTTGGTTTATATTTTTTATTTTTATTTTTTATTTTTATTTTTTATTTCTATTTATTTTTATTTATTTATTTTTTTCATACTAAGTTCACATTTTTCCTCCTCTTTCCAGGTGTTTTCGCTCAAATTCGCAATGTGTTGGAAAAGGGTGATTTCAAATCGCAAAAAGAAGCTGCTTGGGCTGTTACCAATACCACAACCAGCGGCACACCTGAACAAATTGTCGATTTGATTGAGAAATATCAATTATTGAAGCCATTCTGTGATTTACTCGACGCCAAGGATCCGCGCACCATTAAGGTTGTACTCACGGGACTCGCCAATTTGTTTGTTTTGGCCGACCGATTAGGCGGCACTGAGAATTTGTGTTTGATGATCGAAGAGATGGGCGGTTTGGATAAGTTGGAGAAATTGCAGGAGCATGAAAATGAGGAGATTTACAAGAAGGCCTATGCTATGGTCGATACATATTTCAATAATGAGGATGATGCTGAAAATGAGTTGGCACCGCAGGAGGTGAATGGTGCGCTCGAATTCAATGCGGGCCAGTCGAAGACTCCCGAAGGTGGTTTTACGTTTTAGTTGCGCATGCCATGTGCGGGGTGTGGGGATGTGTGAGCAAGATACGCTGGCAAAATTAGAATTATTGAGTGTGTTTGTATGTATAGTACATTAACTATTGGCATGCGTTGGCATTTTTTTTCATTTGTTTTGCTTATGATAATACATGCAAACATACGATATTTTTCTAGTGTTTTCTGGCTCAATGCTTTAAAATAGTTTTAATTTTTTTTTTCGGAACTCCTGTTTCCTAGTACCCACCTTTTATACAAACCATGTTCATTCTGCATGCGTCAATGTTCTAATGTACATTTTATATTCATTTTTAATACACACACGCGTACATACATACACATATGCATTAATTTTATTCCGTTGTTTTAATTTCAAATCACTTTTTACATTTGTAAGCTCAATTGAAGTTTGTATGGATATCGCTATACCTATTATTATTATTATTATTATTACTTTTCATACAAATCCGTTGTCATGCCATCAAAAATGGCCTAATAGCCTAAGACTGCATGGAAATTATTATGGTTACTCAAATGTATTCTATGAAAAAAATATTGATGGAATTCACTCAGAAAAACGAATTTGTAAAATCGCGTACATATACATACATATATACATATTTACATAAATAATTAAACTTAATAAATAATCTCGAAGTGAAAATTCAAAACGAGCTGTTTTATTTTAACTTACGATCACTGAACTGGAAAAGTTGCGGATTTTTGGAAAATTCACTAACTGAATTGAATTGAACTTTTCTGTAGAGAGCCTTGTTGCTATTGCTGCACAGCTTAAGTAGTAATTTCGTTTAGGAACTGGAAAAAGCTAGTCTGATGGTGACGAGGTTAACCAAAAACAAGCTGTTTCGTTTGGCTCAAAGAAAAGGGCTAAGGGGTGTAAGACCAGTTCTTCTTCTGTGAGTAGAAATTGGGTACTGAGGATGCTACTCACAGGTAGAGGGTTAATGGAGATATTGGCAGACTCATAGACGGCCTGTCGGCACTCGTCAAGTCTAGCATTTCTTTAAAGTCATACCGTGTGGAGTCCGTGAAGTCAAGTGCTTACTTCCTGATGCGCCTAGCGGTGGAGACGTCATCGACTATGGGATTCAGGTAGAGCCGCAACTACTTCGAACAGCTAGTGCGCAGAGTCGCGTCCGAATTCGCGGGCAGTTCATTAAGAACATACAAGGTCTGCGGGTGGTTACCCGGTATGGGTGAAGGAATGAGGCGTAGTTGTTCATACAATATGTATATTAAGGGCTGAGCAGGGCTTCATATGACTCCGCATCCATTGCAATGATTACAACCAACCAAAATGGAAGAATGGCGTAGACGTTTATGGCACACACAGCAGAAGCAATACGTCGGATCAGGTTAGGGCTAGACAGCAGCTTTGATGTGAACAATTTGTAGCAACTTATGAGGTGCTGCTCCGTTGATATACTTAAACAAATTACATCTGTGAACCTTAACGGAGTTAGGGTGACAATTATTGGACGAATAAAACCCAGTGCGTAGAACCGGTTGTGCTTAGTTGTGGCACAATTAAGATCTGGTTACTGTAGTCTCCCAAATTCCTACCTCTTCATACTTGATCACAACATAAGCAACGTGTGGCAATAAGACTCCGCAGGAGTCCCGCTTAGGGACAGGCTAATCAATGTAAGTCACCGAGGTCATCTAATGGGACGTTCAGCAATCGTGCTGTTTACTTTTTGGGGAATATTGCGGGAGTGACAGTCCTTGTCCGGATAAAAATCCGGGTCGTTCCGGTATAAAGACTCGACAGTCGCAGGAACTATTGGATTTTAGTCGCCTCTTAAGACAGACATGCCTTACCGCGGGTAAATTCTTTAACCCCTAACCCGCAGAAGGCAGGGGAGAGGTGATCAGATCCGTCGGTTTCGGGGCATAGTAAAGAGGTGGTTAGTGCCGTGGATAATTATGAGTTTAACCTGCCACAGTACCCTGACCCAAGTTGTGCCAGCCGCAACTGCGAATTTCTGCCCTCAAATGACTTCTCCTTCCTCGGTTCACCAAAGCGCATTGTAGGGGGACCTCATATACAATCTTCCTACCGCACGGCTCAGTAAATACATCGTAGACAGAGAACTTGATTTCCTTCTTTTCATTTGAACAACAGAACAACAGAAATACCAAAGAAACATTAACTAGTGGAGTCGACGTGCATGACCAGCAGAAAAATCGGCGCCGCCCGGCGATTTCATCTCTTCATTGAACCAATTCTTCATATATTTCACCCAACGTCCTCTCAACTGTTTGGTGACGCGTTCGCGTATTAACTCATTTAATTGTTTCTGTTCTGCTTTGGCCTTGTCCAAGTCATCGCATTTCATGCTTTCATAAATCGCTTTCATTAACTCTGGCGCCATATTGAAGACAACCATGCAAAAGGTCTTCAAACCCAACAGCAGACCGCTGGAGAGCAAACGCGAGTCGCTAAGTATTATGACACGTTTTGGAGCCATACATTGCGCCGCCATAGCGAGATCGCTATGTGAATATTCCAAGCCCAGGAAGTTCGGTATGCGATGCTCAGCGCGACGACAAAAGTCAGCCATATCAACTAAAGAGAAAGAGAGAGCATATTTTCTTTTCAAAAGCAAAACTCCCAGCTACTCACAATACAGATTCGTATAACGTGGCAGATGATAGTAGAGAAAGGGCAGTTGTCCACAGTGTTTCGCAACGATTTTACAATAGCCCACCAAGTGCTCGACATCGCGCGGCTTATAGAAGAGCTCCGGTATGCAGACGACACCTTGTATATTCAATTTGCTGGCGTGTCTCGCCAAGTCCAGCACATCCGGCAGCGGTGCGCCACCAATTTGCAGCAGCATGGTTAGCTTGTACTTCTTACAGGCCTTGCTCCAAGCCTCGGCATTCAGTTTACGTTCGAGTTTGCCCAATATGGGACCCTCACCAGTGATGCTGTTGACTGTGCGAATTTGTTGTTACTGGCGGCGCAACTTCGATAGGGATGTACTCACCTAGAACTCCTTTGGCGCCATGGAATTTCAGATACTCCGCGTATGCATCGATATGCTGCACATTTAAAGTCTTCTCTCTGTAATTTGTATTTATTATCTTAGATGTGTTGGCAGCTCTCGAGTTTCCAAAAATCTTACTCATTATTCTCAAAACAGGTAAATACCGGCGCCAAGAATCCCTCAAAAATGGACAAGTCCGAGATATTTACAGCCTTCTGATCCCGCATGAAGCTCATGCTCATGCGAAGAAGTCTGTGGGCAAACGTATTTTGTGATCTTTGGAGCTTTCCGTTTCTTTTTTTTTCAAATAACGAACTGACATCTAATATCGTCAAAATTCATGAAGCTCCTTTAATATTTTTGAATAAAGTCTCAATGTGGAGCTGGATTCATGTTACGAGCTGCTCTAAAGTATTCTTTTAAGAATACCGCAAGCCAACATTTGGGCTAGAAATCTTTAGTAGTCTGGCCAGACGCTCTGCCCTTCAATACATTTACGAGTAAAACGAGCCTTTCACGAATAAACCTGAAATTCTGAGCTCATGACCAACCTATATCATTTCAAAGAGCTCATACCAGTTAAGTGATGGGGTAAGGAAACCAGACAACGTTGGCACGATATGGAGATCCAGTTCACATAGTGTAAGATTTGGGGCTCAGACTCCCAACTGCAATTATTAGAACTCTGTGTATAACACTCTGAACCAGTCGTTGGGCCTAGTGGTTAATTTACTGGAGTAATCCTTCGCAACACAAATTTTGAAGAGCCAAAGCGCTCAACAAATTCCCAAAGCAACAAGTGAAATCCTTACTTATTTGCTTAGTAAACGTTTCCTTCTCATGATTTATGATAGTCAGGACACGACCCTAACATACCCAACGAAAGCCCAGCATGTAGAGAGTCTCCACACGACACTAACCACCTCTTCACAGGCCCCCTTAAGCCGACTTCTATTCATCTACAACTCCCGCCCGACGAGGTGTTGCTGAAGCCCAGATTCCTTTGATGTACTCTTCAGACGAGTTATATCGGTGGAGCCGACCATAAAATCAGCAATGATATCAGCGGTCGCTAGCAGTTCATGCTGCTATAGCGAGGGTCATTGCTGCAGCTCTGTGCCTGATAAAAAATCAAAATTATGAAAGACTTTTTCTAAGTGGAGTTTGCTCTCGGCGGAGAATTTCAGCTTCTTTGAGTGTATTTCGGAAACAAAAGTATTCCCATCAGACTTTCACGGATGGCGTAAATATATATGGGATCATTTCTGAATCCCTGATGCCATTATCGACCAATTTTCGCTCTCAGGTGGTAGCGTAGGTCTTAAGCTTTTTACCAAAAAATTGGTGGACCTACAGGGATCTATGCCGTCCCTGAATGTCTTTCGAATACTTGCAAAATAAAGGAATTTCAGGTTATGGATCTCTAACATTGACGTGTTCTCCTCTTTCCTGTTTAAGTGAGGATGATGAATGCTGACTTCGAAGATCCCTTAAAGCCATGAACGCTTTGTTTCATTAACCATCTTATAAAAGCTGATGGAGCCAACACTCACCGTACGTCTCTTCTAGGCAATCGAATCGAATCGAAGTTCGGTTTCGTGGCATCACAAACTTCGTCGTTGGCTAATTTATTAGGCAGTCAAAAAACAAGAACAAACTCTAATCCACCCCTACATATTATACTCGTATATAGCAAAACGCCGCGTCTCACCAACATGAACGCCACAACCCTCTTCAGTGCTCATCTTCTGATTGAACCACTTCTTCGTATCGGCAACCCAACTGGAGGGACCCTTCGTCACATGATCTCGTATCAATTGATTCAAATAGCTTTGCTTGGTTTTCGCTGTCTTCAAATCCTTACGCATCATCGCCTGATAGATCTCCTGCATTAGCGCCGGCTCTATATTGACTACAGTCATAATGGCCGCCTCAAAACCGAGTAGCATGCCACTGGCGAGCATTTTCGAATCGCCAATAAAGATCACACGATTGCCACCCAGACATTTTGCGGCCGAAAGTAGATCGCCGTGCGAGCATATCAGACCGGCGAAAGTTGGTATCTCCGTTTCGGCATCGCGGCAGAACTCCTCCATGTCGACTGAGAATCAATTAAAAAAATTTAAATTAACTTCTTAACACACACACACACACGCACATTTCATATCTATATGTTTCGGCAGGTGATAGTAGAGAAAATTGTGATTTGTACACTTCTCTGCGACGATTTTGCAATAACCAACCAAATGCTTCATCCGGCTGGGTACGTAGAACATTTCCGATATACACACGACAGCTTGCAGGTACAATTCGTTGGCATGACGCGCCAGGTCCAGCACATCGGGTAGCGGTGCGGCGCCGATTTGCAACATCATCACCAGTGAATGTCGCTTACATGCGCGACTCCAAGCCTCGGCATTCAATTTGCGTTCAATCAAACCCAACGTGGGACCCTCGCCAGCTATGCCGTTCACTGTCGAGCGGTGTGAAAGAGGAGAACGAAATAGACTAAGCGTCACATTCAATGCGAAATGGAATACTTTACCCAGCACACCCTTGACGCCATTGCTTTTGAGCCAAGCTGCGTACTCGTTGATGTAGCCCAACTGTAAAGTTTGTTGGCTTGCGTTTCGGGCAGAAAAATGAAAAATAAATATAAAAGACTCAGAAACGCGCAGAAACTGGCACTCACTCATCGGCTTGGAAGCATGTGAAGACCGGCGCATATAAGCCCTGGAAATCATCTTGCAAGTCCCTTATAGGTGGCGTGCTCTTGCGACGAAGACTGGCTGCGAATTTCAGCATTTTTTCTTGTTTTTTTCACGGAAAAGTTCGATTCGATTTTTTTTTTCGATTTGTACAATTCAGGAGAAGTAAGTCTCTTCTTCGAAAATATGAAAATTTAAAAAGAATTTTATTTCAGCAAGCTTTTTTTACTTTCTATATGAGCTTTAAAGCTTTTTAAACAAGCTTTCTAAAAGCCTTTTTATCGAGCTTTTAAAACCTTTCTTTCACCAAGCTTTTCAACCACTTTAAAATTATTTGATTTTATTGTGGTACTGCATGGGATCCAAATACTCTTTAGCAGGGAAGATTTTAATAACTTCTTGTGTGAGGATATCTATAAAATATTGACTAAAGAAAATTTCAAAAATTCTTCATCGAAACTTAGGTCGCTGGCCATATCAGCGGAGTTAAGTGTGTTGCCTTTAATGCTCATTCTGCTGGAAGAATCTGAATCCCCTCAGAACTCAGTCTAGAACTGTAAATTCATTGCGGGTTGATGAGTTGAGCTGAGCTGAGATAAGCTTAAGAGGCTAGTTAGGTCCAGATCTCGGTTGCTGTGACTTAAAGCCCTAAGTTCTAACACTCTCTTTCCAAATTTCTTAAATGTTATGCTCAAACCGTTTAGTGGGTTTGTTAAAGCCCTAAAGAATACTTCAATTTCCAAGCCTAATTGTGAAAGGCGATCGAAGTGGAAACTATATCAAGCTTTTCTGGACTGTAGAGGGAATGCACGACTGAAACGTCGGGCTTTAGAGAGTTCTTCTTCTACTGTGAGTTGAAGTGTCCGGTTATTATGTCAGTTAAAATACTCAGTCAAGGCAGTGGTCTGAGGGACCAGTTTGCACCTGACCTTGGCAATCGATTTGCCGAAGAAATATGTTCACTGTGGTTCGAACATGTTTCCATGGCGGAACAGTTACCTTGAATATCTCTCTCCGTTTTACACAGCTCGTTCCTTTTTCGGGCTGAGCATAAATGATTCACTCTCAATTAGGTTCCTGGTCATAGCGTCCTATAGGGAAACAACCAGACAGAGTAGATTCGACAAACTAGATTCTTCCAGATTAAGTACGCTTTGACATGTATTTTCCCTCAGACTGGCTGCTACTTAAGGAATATACTATTATAGAAAAGCTGCGCTGATGTGGGAGCAGAACTTCAGTAGTCACTAACCCAAGTAGAATTGGCTGGGATGGGACTGAGATAGGTCGCAAAGCGCACGCTCCTTGAAAAGTAGTAGTCAGTAGTCACTAACCCGAGCAGAATTGATCAAGATGGGACTGAAAGACATAGTATATACTCCTTGAAAAAATAATATTATGAGAATTTTGGCAGCCAACATGTTGAAGAGGCGGTAAGAAGGATGAATAAGTGGAGATAATGCCTCATCTACTAGATAATTGTATTGCACTGGGCTGAAGTAGGCTTTGCAAGTTCGGAGTCGCTTTTTTTTGGTTGGTCTTTGGTGGGTAGATCCAAGTTAACGGATATTGAGTTAGCGTCAAATTTTCTTGTCCCATACTGGGTTTTCTCTGCCCCAAATGGTTTTACTCACATTGGTGTACACTCGTACATAACTATCTATCCGAGGTCAGCTTGGCTCATATATTTGGGGTTGTTTAGCCAGGATTTGCTTAAAAAATGACACTACAGTCAGGTTAAATCATACTTATATCGAGTTTAAACTGCGCTGGAAGGCCTCACAGCAAACTATGCCATGGAATCTCGAGCCTACAATAGAAATGATCCTTAGGTACGGTTCAGAAATGCTGGGTTTTTACACTTTCTCTGCTGCCTTTGAGGTCTTTGATGACGAGCCGATAATGAAGACGTTTTTAGGTAGTGAAAAGTTTCAAAAGAATTTTTCACATGAAAACTTACAGATTTTTTTTTCATTTTCAAAAGTAAATAGACCGTTTTCCTGCAATGCTTTCAAATTCATCTTAACCTCATTTTTAGAAAATATCTGTAAATTGAATTGGGATTGCAAGGGATACCAACGTGTAAACGTGGTTTAAGGATTTCTATAAATATTTCTTTAGAATTTATTCAACACTCGCTTGTCAATGATTAAATAGAAAAAAATTAGAAAAACACGCAAGAATTATTTTTATTTTTTCGAATTTCCCATACTTCACCTTCAAGCTGGGAAACACACGGAGTCGTAAATCATCGCTACCATCCGATCAGTCGATCGAGAATTACATAGCCAATCGCTATGTAGAGGTAACCCACGGACAGTCGACTGAGCGACCCGCAAAGAAGGTTAGAACGCATCAGCAAGAGAATAGACGTGTGAAGTTCTTCGACTTCAAAGGACTAATGGCGCCCGTGTTCACCGCCTTCAAAAACAATGAGTAAGTTTTAGCAAAGAGAACTAATTTTTTCATAGCTATTATTTCAATTTCTATTTAGCGAGCAGAGTTTGGATGTACAGCATATCGATCGTTACGCAGAGTGGCTCAAATCGAATCGTATAAATGGTGTTTTAGGTACATACGTGAGTTCAAATGTCCTTTAAAAACGTTTCCAATTTCATCTTCTCCATTCCTGCAGTCAACGGCATGACGGGCGAGGGTCCCGCCTTGGGTTTGGCGGAACGCATGCGTAATGCCGAGGCTTGGTGGCGCGCCGCACAGAAATACGATTTAATTATGTTTCTACAAATCGGCGGCGCACCGCTGCCCGACGTGCTCGTCATGGCCGATCATGCACACGATTTGGGTGTACATGCAGTGCTCTGTCTGCCCGAATTGTTCTACAAACCCACCACAGTCGAACAGCTGGTGAGTTATATGCGTTTGGTGGCCAAGCGTTGTGCGGCGTTGCCATTTTTCTACTATCACCTGCCGAATAGCACGGGCGTGTGGTGTGAGTACTAAAATTTTAAATTTAAGTAATTAAATTTATTCAACATATTTTATTTGTTTAATTTTTCTACAGTGAATATGCGCGACTTCTGCAAGCTGGCCGAGGAGACCATACCGAATTTCTATGGCATCCACTTCGCCGGCACCGATCTGGATGATGGCGAAGCTTGCTTGAGCGAGGGACGCGTGATTATATTGGGCAATAGTCGTTTGTTGGCTTGCGGCTTGCTGGTGGGCTTCGATTCGGCTTTGATGACGTTCCTTAATATACGGCCCGATATGGGTTGGACGATTTGGAATGCCATGTTGAATAATAATTTGGAAGTGGCTCGTGATACGCAATTACTTTTGAATAATATGATGAGCTCATACCTGGGGCGCTCCACTGAGGAGGGTTATGTGCAGGCCATGAAGCAATGGTTTAATAATGAGGTGATGCAAGGCAATGGGCCGGGTTTCTATATAGGCGCGGCAAGAAGATTTTTCTAATGGCATTTTTTGTTTTTGTTTTTGCTTTTGAAGTTTGTAGGAACATTAAAGAATTGCATATATTTAACTGGAATTTAGCTGTTTCCATGCTTAAGTGTTGCAACTTTTCCGCTTTTTTGGTACTGCAAGACCCTTTCGAGGCCTTAAAACGCTGGTAATCCGCAGGTATTCGTTCTCGGCCAAGGGCTTGAGCTTCACTGTGCTTCCAATACAAACATCCGGACGGTTGGTAGTCAACATATCGGAAAGTTATGTTTTCCTATCGAAATGTTCTGGGGACTACAGTTGAAGCGCCTTATTTACAATGCGGACGGGCTGTTATGAAGGTCTTGAAGTTGTTATTTAAGTTAAGGAGCTCAACTCAGTTCAGATTGGCTGACGTTTATCATGTGGCTACTAAGCTGGTTAAAAATGCCCACGTTTCCTTACAAATGTATCGAATTATTTTTACCAGACTTTCTTGAAGGCCAATCTCCAGAGAAATAGCGGGGAAAAACCAGGCTCAGTTTGGTTTGGGGCGTGTTAGACCCAGTGGGGTACACGCTGCAAAGAGGATATCTTAACGCTAACATATTAAGAGCTCTTACGCATAGCGACTCCCTTAAGAGGGCAAGTAGCCGGTGGATTTGAATTAGGCTGCCTCATACCCGTGTATGCAAATTTTATGTGCAAAAAAACTGCTAAAACGAAGTTTCGCCCCGAAAGGGCAGGTCGTTAATGGAAACCAAGCGCGATCTTAGCTTCGATCGATTGGAGAAAATATGATAACGCACACAACAGCAGGAATTTCCCAACCAGCATCCATATCAGACGAAGAGCTCGCGCTGAGCTCTGTATATTATAGTAGATCCAACTTCTACCTAACCAGACTCATTTCCGACTTACCTCGGATATGGTATGTTCTGAATGAAATCAGTCCACTCACGACACTAATCACTTCTTTGTGTATCCAGGAGAATTCGCGCATCTAAAACCTATCACTCAGTGGTTCCAACCCGTCGCAACAGCTCGTCGACCACCCGTTATATGATTTGGACGAGATGGCCTAACTTTGGCTGATCCGAAACAGGCTTACTTATGAACGCTCTCCAATTGGAAGATAATTTTATCAACTTCAGAAGGAATAACGGTGCCTTTCTTGGATCTCCAGAGACTTATTAATAATAATTAAACGAACAGAACACTCAATGTAACGGTAAAAAGACTCTTTAAAGTGGAAAGCAGCGTGTTTTACATGAAGCTTTACATTTGGAAGCACCGAAATGATCTTCGGCCAAACGTTTCCTTTTTCTTCTCCGATACGCTAACGGATTTTCATAAGAAGCTTTTTTTTAAGTCAAAAATATACTCGGAGCCGTGGTCTTCCGTATGACAAAACGGTCTGCTAAATACTCTGCTTTTGAGTCCGCCCAAATATGTATTTTAAGAATATTTTTCACTCTTTTTTAGAACAACCGACCCGAGGCACAGAGAGTTTATACGAAATTTAAATTTGAATTCAGTCTTAAAACTCCCTTGAGTTTGGTTCACTGCCTCTGAATGCCGGAGTAAAGCGGCTGCTGCTTAAGCGAGCTCTACTCAAATCGCTTATATATGCGAGTGTTCTTTTGTAGATTTGTTTTTTGCAAATTCATGCTTTCCCTCGTCGAGTTATCGAGTAGCCACTGTATGAGCATGTAATTCAAATTTAGCTGAGTGTTTACAAAAAACCAAAAAGAACACACCAACCATGAGAAGCAATCTAATTTGCCACAAAACTCAAGGTAAGCACACACTGCAAGGAATTCGCAATGCTCTCAATAACAACAAGCGCCAGGTGGTTGTAATTGCACAACAACAACAAGCGCAATAACAGCGAAGGGCAATAAAAATACAAAGTTTCACATTTGTTGTCTTTCAAGCTCTACCTCTGCCCAACTAACTCGCGCGCGCGCGCTCTCTCTCTCTCTCCTGTAGCATCTTCAGTATTCCCCGTTGCTTAGTGCTTGTTGTCTGTCAAAATCATTATCGTTACTTTTAAGGACACCAGCGTTTATTGTGTGATATGTCTTAGCAAAAGAAAAAAGAAAAAAAGAAAAATAAGAACAAAAATAAAATAAGATAAACAACAACAGTTACAAGTGTGCGTGAAATGGATGGGTTAAACACAGAACATGGCCGCATTGGGGCCAGCAAATGCCTGTGTGCGCCGAGCGTATGGGTAATAATGAGCGTGTAATAACATTATAAAGGTGTATGCATGTCAGTTTAATGTTTGAAAATATGTTTGTAATAAAAAAAAAATTTCAAAAATAAAAATATAAAATAAATCAATGCCAATAAATGTGACAGTAAAGCGTATAAACGTGTTGCATGGGACGGAAGGACACCAGCGAGAGAATAATCACTTCAGGGACATAACAATAAAGGTGTAATCATGGAAATATAAACGCTGAGTTGAGAGAGAAAGAGAGGGAGAGAGAGAGGGAGAGAGAGAGGGAGAGAGAGAGGGAGAGAGAGAGAGGGAGAGAGGGTCGTAATAAAAAGTGCTTGAGTAGTGGAGAAAGAAAATTTGGATTTTTTTTTTACAATTCAAGCGTAGAAAACTGTGCTTGAAACAATCTACTTTCTGATGTCAATTTCAGTGTCAAAAAATACAAGGAACTCTCGACTAATTAGACACGAGCGCGTGCTCTATGTCAGAACTGCCTCGATGAAACTTTACGGCGATAGATCGGTAAACTCGATTTTGTGGGCGACTCATCTCTCGTTCGTTCATCGTGTTTTTTAAGTCGAACAAAACTGTAGGAGATTTTATTTCTTTTATTTTCTAAAAAATAAATATTTTTCGTTTTTGAATTGAACCTAAAGAGGATACGGAAAACAAGTACCTCGTTCATTCATTGAGGTTAAAAATATCTCCGAATCTTCCTCTTCTTATTTACCAGCGTACTTAACTACTACTACTTTCTTAATTCAAAACACTGTTTGGAAATACCAGCTACCGCCAGATTCTTCTCCAACTTTGTGGAAATCTTCTTCTCTCTCTCTCTGCTTCCACCAGCGGGTACAACACCGAAAACTTTTAGAACTAGAGTATTGGAATCCTTACGGTCCTTACATGACCCAGCCAATGCAGCCACTGTCCCTTGATTGGTTGATCTATGTCCTTGTACTGCTCATGGTTCCATTGGCTGCCGCTAGTGCCAAACCGGTCTGTCGAAAACTCCTAACGCCGACTCATCAGTTGTTCTTGTACAGCTCATCGTTCCATCGGCTGTCGCTAACGCTAAATCGTTCTGTCGAAAACTCCTAACATCGACTGATCAGTTGTTCGCATCCGACGAAGAATTAACTTTGAAACATGGTTTGGGTGACGGTTCTTCGGCCTTCGATAGCTCGCGAAGTAGATTACAGTTCCTTTCGGCATCACTGGAAGGAAATTTAATCCAGTAAGAACTGCTGATGAAGAAGACTCGATTCGAAAATATACTAGTTTGGGAACGCTTTGCTGTAATAGATGCAACCCGCGCTGCCATGTAAAGTGGTTCGTTGAAAAAGTATCAAAAATGATCTATTCCCCGGAAAGGACAGAGAGAGCGAGGCTAATTTAATGACAGTGAACTGCAGTACGATTTAAGGAATTTCACTTGGAATGACCGATCTCTTGATTGGGAAGGTGAGCCACTCCGCTGGTTGATGCTTTCGTTATACTAAACAAAGCAGGTGGATTCTTCTGACTTATACTACAGTGGATACCAACAGGAAAATTTCGGCTGTTTAAGGACTAGTATATCTTTACAGGCGGCTCAAAGCTCAATGCGGAAAAGTGGGATGCGGAATTTGTTCTCCACTGCAGCGGCTTACAAGTGGAGCTCTTTACAATCATGTAAGCCGTCGATTGGTTCCTCAAATCTACGGCAGCAGGACAATCGACAATATACTCCGACAGATCTTTACAATGTGACCGCAAAATGTAGAAAAAATCTTAACAAATTCTCAACTAAATGCAATACTGCCATGGTCTGGACACCTGGATACAGTGACATCTCAGGCAATTGCATAACAGACGAACTGGCGAGCACACGACGCTGGTTTTTCTCTGTCCACGGCGAAGTATTCGCAAAAACTGTGCTTTGTCAGGGAAGCAGACTCAAGATGACTAAACGAGATCGCTTACGAAGTGACCAGACAGCTATGACCGATGATTGAACGCGAAAAAATCCCAAAACATCTGATCCTTCTAGACCGATTCTCCTTTAACATAACGACAGGCATAATAACAGGTCATTGTTTAATGGGGTTTCACGGGAAAATAATGTGATATCACTCTAATGATGTTTGTTGTAGCTGTAGGGGCGAAGAAGAGGCGGAGTCTATCGAGTACCACTGCTGTTACTGTCCAGTCTCGAAAGCACTTCCTCGACTGTCTAACTGGCGATCTTGTTACGTTTATAAGACACACGAAATGGCTCGATCACTTGAGAAGGCGAAGGTAGGAGCCTTACAGCGGTCTCAGAATGGACCGATTGGTCAAAGTGCACTGGTAGTGGCCAGCAGCCGCATCAACTCAACTCAATGCAGAGACTAGAATGAGCGCGAACAACAAAACCAACAAAGAATCAACAGTTCAGCTTTCCACTAAGTAGGTAATTGGAAAGTTCCCTCTAGACGAGCTAAGACGGTACACGACAGATCGTTCATGATTTGCGTCTTGCTTAGTGGTACAGATGGTTGGACGATGATATTGTCCTATGCGCCGACTTCAAAAAGGTTTTAGAGAACAGTTTTGTGGAAAATATTTGGTTCTCTGCATTTTAACGAAGCCGAGCACGGCAAAAGAGCCTTGTGAACTTCATTATGTTGTTCGGATGTGCGCTAACCCTCATAGTGGCAAGTTGTTGGTAATGGAAGACTAATATTGCGTTGGCAAAATCAGTTTGAGGGGATTTATGGGGGGGCGGGGGGTACATTTGGGTGAATTGGTAAAAGCAAGAGACGCTTGGCTGGCTGTTATTGACTTAAATCACTCCAGAGGAGGAAGAAGTCAGTTTTTTATGCTTTGTTTTGCAAAAAAATGCCTTAAACAACCGT